GAGAGGCCACAACAGTGAGAGGCCCGTGTACCGCAAAAAAAAAACAAAACAAAACGGCAGAATGGGAATTCCCTGGCAGTCCAGTGGTTAGGACTGCACACTTTCACTGCAGAAGGTACAGGTTCAATCCCTGGTCAGGGAACTAAGATCCCGCATGCCACGTGGTGCTGGAAAAAAAAAAAAGGAAAGAAAACTGGGCAGAACACCTAAACAGACATTTATCTAAAGAAAACATACAGATGGCCAACGGGCACATGAAAAAATGCTCAACATCACTAATTAATTATTGGAGAAATGCAAATCAAAACTGCAATGAGGTACCACCTCACACTAGTCAGAAGAGCCATCATTTAAAAAGTCTACAATACTGGAGAGGGTGTGGAGAAAAGGGAACCCTTCTACCCTGTTGGTGGGAATGTAAGTTGGTGCAGTCACTATGGAGAACAGTATGGAGGTTCCTCAAAAAGCTAAAAATAGAATGATCCAGCAGTCCCACTCCTGGGCATATATCCCAACAAAACTCTAATTTGAAAAGATACGTGCACCCCAGTGTTCACAGCAGCACTCTTTACAATAGCCAAGACACGGGAGCAACCTAAATGCCTACTGACAGATGAATGGATAGAGGAGACGTGGTACGGGAACTTCCCTGGTGCTCCAGTGGGTAAGACTCTGAGCTCCCAATGCAGGGGGCCCGGGTTCGATCCCTGGTCGGGGAACTAGAGCCCCCAAGTTGCATGCCACAACTAAGAGTCCACATGCCGCAACTAAGAAGTCTGTGTGCCACAACTAAGAGTCTGCAACCTGCAGCTAAGACCCAGAGCAGCCTAACTAACTAAATAAATACTTAAATAAAAAATGATGTGGTACATATATACAATGGAATACTACTCAGCCATAAAAAATAATGAAATAATGCCATTTACAGCAAGCATTGATGGACCTAGAGAATACCATACTAAATGAAGTCAGTCAGAAAAAGACAAATACCATATGAAATCACTTATATGTGGAACCTAAAATATGACACATAAGACTTCCTGGTGGTCCAGTGGGTAAGACTCTGCGCTCGCAATACAGGGGGCCCGGGTTCTATCCCTGGTCGGGGAACTAGATCTTGTATGCATGCCACAACTAAGAGTCCACATGCTGCAACTGAGACCTGGTGCAGCTAAAATAAATAAATAAATAAATAAATATTTAAAATATGACACAAATGAACTTATCTACAAAACAGAGACAGACTCGCAGATATAGAGAACGACTTGTGGTTGCCAAGGGTGGGGGAGGGATAGACTGGGAGATTGGGATTAGCAGATGCAAACTATTATATACAGAATGGATAAACAATAAGATCCTACTATATAGCGCAGGGAACTATAGTCAATATCCTGTGATAAACCATAATGGAAAAGAATATGAAAAAGAATGTATGTATATGTATAACTGATTCACTTTGCTGTACAGCAGAAATTAACACAACATTGTAAATCAACTATTCTTCAATAAAATAAAATTTAAAAAATATTTGGTGTATTTAGGACCATGTGAGAAACTCAACACTATCCCTCCCCTTGGGGGATATCCCTCCCCTAAGAATTTGCACACACAGTTTGGTTTACTCTCAAACAACTCTCTGGGGAGGTACCATTTCTGAGTCTTATTTTATAGCTGAGGACACTGAGGCTCAGAGAGGTTAAGTAATCTACCTAAGCTCACACAGCTAGTAAGTAGCCACTAACTGCATGGCTCCAAACTTGTATTCTTTCAAATACGATATTCTACTCATCTAGATAATGCTATGCATCTGGACCTTTCAAAATGTGGAATAAGTTGACTTTATATTTGTGGTCATTCAGCTTTCTAATCCAGATATGCCTCAAAGGGGAGACCTGGAACTCATGGCCGAAGAAGCACCAGAAGCCTCTGGACACCTCTTTTGGGTCCCAAATGCCTTTGCAGGGACACTAGCAGAGTCATTTCTTAAAAAGAGCAATCCTTTTAACCCTGGGCAATTTTCTTTCCCTATAGTCAGTTAAAATTTCCTCTGGGAAAGCAAACTAACTTTAATAAACCATAATCAAGAAGAGGAATTTGCAACTAAAAAGAGCTTTTTGTGAAAATGAATTCTCTGAATCCTTCTCTGTTACTCTACATATATCATCAAATAGTAACTGAAGATAATTGTGGGATTATAGGATATGGGACATGACCTTCCTCAAACAATTATGACCTTCCTCAAACAATCCTAATTAAAAAAAATATTTATTTATCTATTTATTATTTTGGCTGCACCGGGTCTTAGTTGCAGCATGCAGGATCTCTGCTGTGGCATGTGGACTTCTTAGTTGTGGCATGCATGTGGGATCTAGTTCCCCAACCAGGAATCAAACTCAGGCCCCCTGCACTGGGAGCGCACAGTCTTACCCACTGGTCTACCAGGGAAGTCCCAACAATCCTAATTTTTAATTCTTGGTTATCAACCACTTTGTCTATGCCAGTCGTTCCCATTTCTAATAATGATGGTTCTCTGTAGATAATCCAAAGAGTATTCATCCCAATGGAGTTCACCACTATTTGCACATTGGTGTTTTATCATTAAATGAGATAATACATATCTAGGTACTGGTCCTGCATATGCCACCATGTAACTGAATGACCTTGGATAAGTCACATAAACTCATTGGGCTTTACCTTTTTTTTTAATTAATTAATTTATTTATTTATTTATTTTGGCTGCGTTGGGTCTTCATTGTTGCACGCAGGCTTTCTCTAGTTGTGGCAAGCGGGGACTACTCTTCATTGTGGTGCACGGGCTTCTCATTGCAGTGGCTTCACTTGTTGCAGAGCACGGGCTCTAGGTGCATGGGCTTCAGTAGTTGTGGTGCACGGGCTCAGTAGTTGCTCGCGGGCTCTAGAGCACAGGTTCAGTAGTTGTAGCACGTGGGCTTAGTTGTTCCGTGGCATGTGGGATCTTCCCGGACCAGGGCTCAAACCCGTGTCCCCTGCATTGGCAGATGGATTCTTAACCACTGCACCAACAGGGAAGTCCCTCCTTACTTTCTTTATCTCAAAAAATGAGGGATTTAGATGAAACACTTTGGACTTCAACTCTTTAATTCTAATCTTGCTGGTTGCTTTAAAGGACCTGAGAGCCATGCAATCCCAAATGTGTCCAGGAGAGGTCAGAAGAAGTCACTAAAAGCTCTGAGGTCTACATTAATCCCAGTTACCAGTGTAAATACAGTTTTACTGTAAATACAGTATTTACCAGTGTAAATACAGTTTTTCCCATTCTGTCCATTTTTTTAGGGACAGTTTTACGGAGTCCCTACTCTCTGTTATTTACCTGATCTTTAAGGTTGGGCCAGACATAAAGGCAGGTATTTTTCTTAAAGGATTAAAGCAGAGATGCATTGTCTGTTTTGGGCCTCTTTATCAAATGTAAAGCCATTTCCCAAACGGTGAGCAAAGGTAAATTGCCTGACAGAGGTGATACAAAGGTATACTTAGAGTTAATATAAACAGTAAGCTTGCTACAGAAAATTCCATTCATCAAAAATCTTTCTTTATAACAAAGGATTCCTAACCCTACTTAATGACCTATTTACTTTGAAAAATATTTACCTCAGCAAAACTCTTCCTTTTTTTTGTGTGTGTGTCTGTGTGTTTTCTTTGGCCACGCAGTCTGTGGGATATTAGTTCCCCCACCAGGGATCCAACCCACAATCTCAGCAGTGAAAGCGCTGCGTCCTAACTACTGGACCGCCAGGGAGTTCCCCAAAATTTTTTCTTTTTTTCCCCAGCTTTATTGAGATATAATTGACAGATAACATTGTGTAAGTTTAAGATGTACAACTTAATGAACTGATATATGTATACTGTGAGAAATGATTACCACAATAAGATTAGTTAATGCAACCGTCACCTCTCATAGTTAAAATCTGAAAAATTCTCACAATGGGGTTGGACCCCATCAGAAAAATTATTCGGGAAATACACCATTACAGAGATGGAGACTTCTAGTAAATATTTAAATATGATAAGCATTGCTTTTTTAGGCAGAAACTGGTGGACTGGTTTAAATGTGAATTGAGGCGAAGGAGTTGGGAATTAAAGAAAGCCCTGCGGCCAGGTCAAACCCATCCCAGCTGTTTAAAGAAAATGCCTATACTTAGGCAGAATTAGGTGGCTAAAGATTTGAGCTCTGGGTAAAACAGATCTACGTTTGAACCTTGTTAAAGTTACTTAACCTCCCTAAGAGATAAACTCCTCAGTAGACTTATCTATAAAGTGAAGATAGTGATAAAGCCTCCTAAGATTGTTCCGAGGATTAAATGAGATAATACATGTTAAGAATTTAGCAAAGCATCTGCCACCTACCATGTGATCACTAGGAGAGAGCTATTGCCATCATATGTTATTGGTGAGGAGTTACTGTTTTTAGTAAAAAAACAAACAAGGAAGAAAATCACATGCCTTTTTCTTTTCTTGTTTTATTTTCTTTTTTTTAATGTTTTTCCATTTACTTTTTTTTAACCATGGCTTTTTCTAAACCTTTTATCTTGACTATCCCAGACTAGGTTCAATGTCTGCTGTGTAATGCAGCCATCGCAGCTGACAGACCCTGACCTGGTCACCTGGCCCGTCGACTGGCACCACCACCCCCGTCTTGGGCACCTCTGAAGTCCAGCAGAGGAAACTGGATGCCCGATGCCCATCACACTTCCTGCCAGCCCATCAGCAACAGTCGGAGACCTTCTCCCTACGGACAGGGACCTTCCCCCCTCCCAAGCCTCACTTGCAAGGGTGACGTTTGCTCCCGGCTCAGCGGCAAGCTCTTCCTCCCGATTCTCCACCTTTGGCCTCGGGGCCTTTACTTTTTATCTAATGCAGCACTTAGTTTTTCCTTAATGCAGCACTCAATTTGCTGATTGTCATTACTATGTTTCTCCTGCTATGCCAGGCTTCTCCAGGTTGAGGCCTGTGCCCGTCTCTCCCACCGTCGTAGACCCGTGGGCCAGCCACGGAGGATGCACTGCATTATGAGGACAGCCAAGAGCAGGGGGCCGAGAAGAGCAGGGAGCCGGGGGTATGTCCTGAGGAGAGAGAAGCTGTGTCATGCTGTGCTTCTAGGATGAAGTGTACAAACAGTGCAGTGAGCGGGGCCAGGGCAGGGTGTGGGTTCCTGAGAAGTTCAGAGGGGGTGAGCAGGGGGCGTGATTACACGGAACCCTCCAGACCAGATATGGTGTGCAATGCCTGGCGGAGACAGGGGTCAAACAGGGATGGGCAGAGACAGGACTTGCTACCATCTGCCCACATTCCAGAGACCATTCCAAGGACCAGTAGCCAAGGGACCTCCCAATGACTCCAGTTCAAAACTGAAGATTAAAAGCAAGACAGTTGCTTCCTTGCGCTGACCGTAGCTCAGAGCTCCTTGGAAAGGGTCTTAAGTCTTAGGGTTTCTGTTTACTCAAAATGAAAAGAAAGTGGGAGGAAGTACTGATTCAAAGAGAAATGTTCTGCTTCTGTCTGAAGATAACTGAATCCTGACCCTGACTCTGGCAACTGTCTTGCTGAGACCCAGCCAAGCTCTGTACTCCTCTGGCCTTGCTTTTGGTGCCTGTTACCAGAGCTCCGGGGTAACAATGGCAAGCCCCCGCCTTGAAGAATGGGGGAAGCAGTGAGAGTAATTTGTGATTGCTGGTACGTGATGCCCACGTACCTCAAACACAGCATGGGAGACACGCAGTTGTCATGTGATTTAAGATGTTTTTATAAAACTAAAAAAAGATACTGGGCTTCCCTGGTGGCGCAGTGGTTGAGAGTCCGCCTGCCGATGCAGGGGACGCGGGTTCGTGCCCCGGTCCGGGAAGATCCCACATGCCGCGGAGCGGCTGGGCCCGTGAGCCATGGTCGCTGAGCCTGCGCGTCCGGAGCCTGTGCTCCGCAACGGGAACACTTTCGGTGGGACTGTAAAAGGGTGCAGATGTTGCAGAAAACAGTAGGGAGGTTCCTCAAAAAATTAAAAATAGAACTACCATATGATGTGGCAATTCCTCTTGGGGCTATATACTTGAAAGAATTGAAAACAGGGTCTTGAAGAGATATTTGTACACCCACATTCACAGCAGCATGCTTCACAACAGCCAAAGTGTGTTCATCTACGGATGAATAGATAAACAAAATGTGGTATAGACATACAATGGAATATTATTCAGCCTTGAAAAGGAGGGAAATTCTGACACATGCTACAACGTGGATGAAATTGGAAGACATTATGCTAAGTGAAATAAGCCAGGGACTTCCTTGGTGGTCCGGTGGTTAAGACACTGCGCTTCCATTGCTGGGGGGAGCGGGTTCCATCCCTGGTCGGGGAACTAAGATCCCACATGCCTTGTGGCTTGGCCAAAAAAAAAAAAAAAGTGTAATAAGCCAGTCATGAAAGGACAAATACCATATAATTCCATTTACATGAGATACTTAGGGTAGTTAAATTCATAGAGATCGAAAGTAGAATGGTAGCAGCCAGGGGCTGGGGGGATGGAGGTATGTAGAGTTACAGTTTAATGGATGGAGAGTTTCCGTTTTACAAGATGACAGTAGTTGTGGGGGTGGATGGTGGTGATGGCTGCCCAACACGTGAATATACTCCTGAACTGCAAATTTAAAAGTGGTTAAGATGGTCAATTTTACGTTATGTATATTTTTCTGCAATAAAAAAAAAATTGGATAATAGATAACTAATAAGAACATACTGGGACTTCCCTGGTGGTGCAGTGGTTAAGAATCCGCCTGCCAATGCAGGGGACACGGAATCGAGCCCTGGTCCGTGACGATTCCACATGCCGCGGAGCAACTAAGCCCGTGCGCCACAACTACTGAGCCTGCACTCTAGAGCCCGCGAGCCACAACTACTGAGCCCACGTGCCACAACTACTAAAGTCCACGCGCCTAGAGCCCGTGCTCCTCAACAAGAGAAGCCACTGCAATGAGAAGCCTGCACACTGCAATGAAGAGTAGCCCCCACTCGCCACAACCAGAGAAAGCCTGCACGCAGCAATGAAGACCCAACGAAGCCAAAAGTAAAATTAAATCTTTAAAAAAAAATACGTTGAAGTAAATGAAAATAAAACATACCAAAAAAATTTTTTAAAAAAGACCTGCTGTATAAAATAAATAAATAAAATAAAATTCAAATTTAAAACATTGGAAAAAAAGAAAAAAATTTAGCATGTGTTGTTGGAAAAATCTCTTTGGGAAAATGTTAAAGTAAATAATGAACATGTACACATTGTACTTATAATAAAAGTATGTGGAATGAAACTGAGCAGGACCCTGTGGGGCCTTCCCGGGGATAGACCTCCCCGCCCCAAACCCTTGTCCCACGTCTTTTGCTGATGGAAAAGATTTAGCCTCCTAGGCCTTCCCCAAGTTCTAAAGAGCAAATTTAATCAGAGAAGTCAGAACATGCAGAATCAAAGGAAAACAGTCAAGCAAGACAAAATAATAATAGTTTAGCCATAAAAACAAAGGACCTTTGCTTCCTCCTCAAAGGCTATAGATAATAATCTGAGCCATGACCTTGAGTTGTCTTAAAGATACTGAACCCCCCCATCAGGTGGAGGAAGTTAACTGCATGCTGGCCACCAGGATGTAGATCCCAGACCAGAAGGTTGACAATTGAGATTCCTGAAACATCACCCTGTTACCTCACCATCAACCAATCAGAGAACTGTCCATGAGCTGATCACGCATCCTGTGGCGCATTCCATCACACTGTCTAAAACCCCTTCCCTGAAAGCTACTGGGGAGTTCGGGTCTTTTGAACATCGTTCTCTTTGCTTGGCGCCACGCAATAAACACTGTGCTTTCCTTCACCACAACCCAGTGTCAGTGGATTGGCTTTGCTGCGCTTCGGGCAAGCAGACCCAAGTATGGTTCAGTAACCGGAACCCCAAAAGGGCAATAACGCTGTTCCTTCCATTTTATAGACAAGGAGAATGAGCCGTAGGGAGAATTAGGCAATTTGCCTAAGTGTAGACAGCTACTAAACAGCAGGTCCCAGGCATGCATGACTGCAAAGCTGGTGCTCTTAAACTCCTTCTGGGTCTCTTCTCTTACACGGAGCTCCCTGCTTTGCTCATCCTGTTTCAGCAGCACTGGCAAGCTTGGGGTTCCCCCCACAGTCCTGCCTCAGGACCTTTGCAGGTACTGCTCTCTCCACCTGGAATGTGATTCCCCCAGATACCTATCTACACGGCTCCTTCCTCCATCACTCCTTCAGGTCTCTGCCAACCTGTCACCTTATTACAGAGGAGGCCTTCCCCCAACACAGTAAACTAGTATACCTCCTCTCCCCCTCCCTCTCCCTTTCCCTCTCCCCCTCCCTCTCCCCCTCCCTTTCCCCCTCCCTTTCCCCCTCTCTTTCTTGCTGCTCTTCATCCCTTACTGGTTTGATTGTTCTTTGCCTGTCTCCCCACTGGGACAGAAGTCCATAAGGTCAGAGGTTTTCTTTTGCCCATGGCTGTATCTTCTGTCTCAATGAATGAGTGAATGAATGGGTGGCTACTGTGATTAGCGTGGCTGATGGGCGGAGCAGAGCCATAGGGTTCTAGATGCCAAGATTTGAGGGAAAGCCACCTCCAAGCCCACTGATTTAACTGTACAGCAGGGCCCAGTTCCAGAAGCAGTTCAACAGCCAGGAGTGACACCCGCCTCCCTCCCTCTTCCCCATTCCACTCTTTATCAGAAGACTCTCTCTCCCCCCCACTCCACCCTCAGTAAACACTTTCCCCTTTGGGCCTTTTCTGCTCAATGTCTGGATCACAAAGTACTAAAAGTTAGTCTAACTGGGCATGGAAGTGAAGTTTCTGGGGTTGGGTGGGGGGTGAAGGTGGGAGAAGAAAAGTCTGTAAACACCACCTGTTTTATCCCTGAAATCCCCATGTGATCCCTCTGGGGGAAAAGAAAACTTCCTTTTGGCTGGTCAACTAGAGCTGACTTTTCAAGACTGGCTCAGACTTCCTTGCCTGCACCCCACCCCCTGCCCCTATTCTATTCCAGGTTAATGCCCCTCCTTGACGGCCCCAGTGTTGTGTTGTCACAGCTCTTTGCTTACTTATTTTTAATTTTTTTGGCTGTGTTGGGCTTTCTCTTGTTGCGGAGGGCGGGGGCTACTCTTCGTTGCGGTGCACAGACTACTCATTGCGGTGGCTTCTCTTGTTGCAGAGCACGGGCTCTAGGCGCGCGGGCTTCAGTAGTTGCAGCACACAGGCTCGGTAGTTACAGCACGTGGGCTTAGTTGCTCTGCAGCATGTGGAATCTTCCTGGACCAGGGGTCGAACCCATCCCCTGCATTGGCAGGCAGATTCTTAACCACTGTGCCACCAGGGAAGTCTCCTTTGCTTATTTATTTATCACACCTTTATTGTCTCCTCTGCTCCAAACTGAAGGGCTTGCCTTTCTTCTTGGGGCCTCAGGGCCATCACAGCCTCTTGCAGATGGCAAGTTCTCAAAGGATTGTTTGTTGATGAAATAAAAGGGGAGATGGGAAGGTGACCGACCTCACATTTTGAGGGCCAGCACTACACATTGTAAATTAGTGCTGTGGTTTTCTCCTATGTCTTCTCTAGCTACCAATACCAATGCCAGCCCAGAGTCCCAGAGGTCACTGAGATTTATTGGGGATATATATCTGACTCAAGACGAATGGTGCTTTACCTGCAAAACTAGTGTTGCTGATAGCAGGTTAATTCCGAATTAGCCCGGGGGTAAAGCACCAGCATCTGGGTCCTCTCCCTCCTTCCTTCCCTCCCTCCAGCCCAGTAGTTATTGTTGAACCATCTTCCCCAGGCTAACTCCGCAGTGGGAGAGGTGAGGAGTTAGAGCTTAAAGAGGGAGGGGTGGTGGGGGAGCCCTGAGCGTGGGTGAGCCCCACTGGAAACCCCAGCCAGAGACTGAGGACTCATCTTTCTCCCAGTTCCCTCTGGCTCCCCGGGAAGGAGGGCCCCTGGCTGGGACGGTTCAGGAATGGTCTCAGTCACATTCAGAAAGAACCTGGATAACTCTGTGGCTGTTTTCCGGGTTTTGTTTT